ATTATCAAACAATTTCTAACGTATTGGTAGGGCTATTAAGGACAATTTTTTATACCCTCAACCTTGGAAAAGAAGGGTATATAAACTTTGTGATTTGGTTTGTAATGCCATGTTTACGTTAGAACTTTTTGTAGGGTTAACCTACTTTGAGAGGATTTATTTGAAGTAAAAGTAATGGATATGACAATTTAAATCCAAATCTAGTGGGTTAACCCTCATATATATAAACGTACTTTAATATCCCTAAATATTCATGATCAGCATAAAATTCTAAATCGATTTAATCATGGCAAAATTACATAAAATTTTTTTTCTTTTGCTGTCTTTATTCTGTCAAAACATGTACACATTTTGTGTATGTGTGTGTATTGTTTTAAATAATTTTGTGGAATAGCCCCAAAATTTCAATCTTGTTTCGCGGATTTTTCCCAAAAAAGAATTTTGTTAAAAAATGAAAAATAAACCAAATCAACGGTTGCATATTTAAAAGTCTATTTGACACTATAAGACTCTAGCACAGAGTTGCATTTTTCTACTTTCTTTGAAGTTGAGCAACCTTTCTTATTGAGCCATGGATTTAACGATGCCCATCTGTTTGTCTACCTGTCTGCACAAAAATTAGTTTTGTGTCTAGGATGGCTACTATTGAAACTGAGATATATCCGTCCACCTTTTCGTATAGGCCCCATATAACGTTACCATAATACGTTCTAGCTCCGGTGTCAGAATATTGAATAATAAGGTTCACGTTTTCCTATAGCGCAAATATAACTTACCCATCGATATTCTGTTTTTTTTTTTTTCATGGCAGAAGAATACAGGTGGATGCATCAACGCTTGGGAGCATTGATATGTCAAATTGAATTAACAAATGTTTTTTCAAATAAAAGTAGGATTTTTATATGTTTTCTTATACTAGTCGGAGGCTATTGTAATTCGCGTTTTCCAACAATTTTTTTTTCAAATTTAAATAAATTTTGTTCAATATTTTCAATTCCAAAATTGGTTTCACATTTCATTGTTCCAGCAGCTGCGTCGACGCGTCTACCTATATTATTCTACCATGGTATTTTTATAATCCTAGTCACATTTACACACGAAATAGTTTCAAATTTGGCATTGAAGAAGATATGGTATGTGACAATCCTTGAAGTATAAAATTGTCTATATCGATATTTTGGTATGGCCCCCAATAACGGGCTTACCCTCTTTATGTTTTTTTTGCAATGCATTATCAAAACGGACCACATTTGAAATCAGATTATTTTATATGAAATGTTTCTCTTTACCCAAATGGTGGAGGTTATTAAACGTACGGCCCGGCTGAACTTAATGGTTTTTAAATGTTTTGTTTTAAAGCACAACCTATGTGAATATTATAAATACATCTGTATTCTTACTATGTGTGTACACATATGTACTAAAAACCATCGACAATTTTATTTCCTTATTTGCCAACAATACTTCCTTTGGTTCCTACATTCTTACCTACGTACATCCATCCATATGTATTTCGAATGTGTGTCATAGGAGACACTGGCATCCCTCTGAGTTGTGTCACACTTGAAAATTTACCACAAATTTGATCAATAAATTGTAGTTAACATGCTTAAATCATGTGGGTTTGTTTTCTAAAAAATAAACATTGGAAAATCCTAAGTTACTATAAGGCGCCAGTTAGACAATGGGAAACCAACTCTATGGGCACAGTATATGTAATATGCATTTTAGCCGAACAAAACACACAGTTTGTATAAAATGTCATTTGCTGTGAAAAATCCTTTAACGCCTGCCATTTCGATTGACAAGGAAGTAAATACATAAACAAAAACACACACACCAACACTACCAAAGGAAAATGAGACAAGATTACACAAGGCCTTAATTTTTAAAATGATCTATCTAATTATAAAGCAGTTTAGAAAAAATATTCAAAATGTTTATTTATAACAGCCTGTTTTTGGAAATTTGCCAAAAAAAGATGGGTGGATGCATGGTACAACAAAAAGGTAAGGTAGAGCTACCAGCTGATTACAATTTTTTTTCTAAGTGTGCCCGACTTCTACCAATTTTTGTGTATGTATTTATTGTTTTGAAAAAGAAAAACAAAATATTTTCAAAATCAATGATTGGAAGAAATATTTATGAGTTCGGATCATAGTTCCGAAAGAAAATCCACGCATTTAACTAATTTTCGCGCCATTTAACTCATACTACAAATGAGGAAAAATACAAAATAAACTGAAAACAAATTGTTGCATATTATTTTGAATAATTCTGACAGGAAGTGGACATAGACTCAGTGCTGTATATCTATAGTTTTACGAAACTGTTTTACCTGTTGTACTATGGGTGGATGAGCTTTGTTTTGAACAGAAATTGGCCCTTTGAATCATGTAAAAATTGTATGTGTATGATAGGGAATTAACATATGAACTATTTTAACACATCAAGACTTTGCTGGCGCACCTTGCTCGTTCATATTCTTCAAATGTTTTCTCGACGTTTTTCAATTTTATTTCACATTTTTTTTTAATAAATTTTGAATTTAACATTTCAAAAAAAATGGTTATGGAACACTGACATATCAAAGTTTTTCGAGAGTAGACGAGAGCTTCCAAAATATTGTATTGTGTCTAGGACGGTTGGTATTGAAAATGATATATATCGGTCCACGTTTTGGTATATATATACATTGTATGTATAGGTCCACGTTTTGGCATATCTCCCATATAACGGTATCTCCCGATATTCGATACTTTGATGGTTTTTGCCACATTTTCTCACAGATTTGTCTACAAATTGGTATTTATTGGTCATAATAGATCCTAGCTCCGGTGGCGAAACATTTCATATTTTTATGATATTAGCGATATTATTCACCGGAATTGATTCAAATCTCGTACTTGAAAATCTTAATGGGTACTACAGCTTTATTACGGGTTTCATTTGAGTGGTATTTTTCAGAATTTTTTGAAAATTTTCAAGTCTCTTCCAAATGGTGGAGGGTATTGCTGTTTTACTTGTTCTGGTTGATCTCAGAATTTGGATGAAGCGCGTCCTTTTGAAAGTGTACATCCACCACACTTTTGGAACCTTTCTGATTAAGAACCCTCGGATTCCGAGCATTTAAGGTGTACAGTGTCTTTGGCGACATTCCAGATAAAAATATTTTGGTCGAAAATTTTAACCCTGAAGTAAGTCAACATATGGATCTTTCTGGTCCTTTTTATACCCTACACCACATAGTGGTAAGGATCCGTCCATCCGTCTATGTATTTTTTTGAGATGAAATTTTCTAATCAATATTTGTTAGGCCCAAGGACGAACCCTTTTGAAATTGGTGAGAATCGGTTCAAATTTAAATATAGCTCTCATATATATCTTCAACCGATTTCTGGTTGATTGTGAACAAAATAGACAATATCAGTCACATCCGACCGAATTCAGTCTAGAAGCAAGTACATCAAATTTGGTTAAAATCGGTTCAGATATAACTATTGCTCCCATATACAGGGTGAGATAAAAAAAACTGCAACCAAGTCAAACGCCATAATTTCTACATTTGTTTTACATTTTATTGAATGAAAGCGAAAAATGTCGGAAATAGCATCAAATTTTAGAATAAGTTCAGATTTGTTCGAATTGGTCACCTTTGGCACGAATTATGGTCTTCAAACGGCCAACAAAACCACCACATGCTGCCCGAATCTTGCTCTGCGGTATTTTGGCCCAATCCCGGCGAAGCGCTTGCTTGAGTTGATCGACAATTTGGTATTTTTTAGTGCGAACCTTGCTTTCCAAAATACTCCAGACACAATAGTCCAACGGATTGATATCCGCAGATTTTGGTGGCCATTATCCGCTGGAAATGAAGCGAGGAACCTCATTTTGTAACCATTCTTGGATGGCGCGTGCTGAGTCATGTTTGAATGTAAACGCTCTGTAGCCAAAATGTCTATTTTCTTTCTGTTGCGGTGTAAGTTCTTGCACTTTTTGGAATTTCAATGGCTTTACCCCGAGCTCATTTCTCGATATTTGCCGAATGGAATATTGCGATATGTACAGCTCACGAGCTATTTTTCGGTCACTGCGACGCGGGTTTCGATCAAGTCGCTTTTTTATTCTCCGAACCATTTCTGTTGATGTTGCTGTTTAGAAATCACAGCAGTCTGAATTTGGTTGCAGTTTTTTCATCTCACCCTGTACTTCAAATTTGGTGAAAATCGGTTCAGATATAGCTTTAGCTCCCATATATAGATTTCATCCGATTTGGTGTTTAAGCCCCTCACATTCGCAATATGCATTTGACAACAATGATATTTGGTACCAGATATCTTATAGATCTCCGAAATACATTTGCCAAATTTTATCGAGATCGTCTAAGATTTGGACATAGCTCCAATCCGATTTTAGGTTTATTGTAGTGAATTTTGGGTCGTATGTTTCCATAAGGAGGTAGAACAGCTTCGTAAAGCTGCAGAAATACAGCCCTGTAGGGTCGCCCAACTTTTGACTTTTCATTACTGGTTTTCTCTCTGAGTTTGTTATAAAGAACGTCCCGCCTTAATATTGTTACAAATTCTTAGGCGGAAAATCCATCCGAACAAAAAAATGCGAAACCATAATGAAAACAAAAACAAGAAAAAGATAGTAAATTTAAACAAGTGAAAACAAAAACAACAAATCTACACACAAATGGAATGATCAGACCAAACAATGACCACTGTGTGCTGTGTTGGGCCCTCGGCGTTTGTGTTTTCTGAGAAAGAGTTTATTTTTTGTATCTGTATCTGAGAGATAGAAAACATACACATATTGGTTTTGAAGAGACAAGTTCGGTTGTGGCTGGGTTTGGCTGCGAGCATGAGTTCCAGATACTTTACAACTGGATAAACTGATCGATGGATAGATGAATTGCTTGAATGGCTGGTTGGTTGGCTGGCTGGCTGACTGATGGTTGTTCGTTATAGAGTTGAGAATTGTTTTGTGGTTACTCTCCTCAGTTTATTACTGGACCTTTGTGAGAGATGCACGTTTACCATGCATTTAGCGGATAAAATATTAAACGTTCGGTGCTTCTTCAATCGATAATCGCATAAAGCAAAAAAAATATAGTTATTGTAATTTAAAACGCAGAAAAATAAATATATTCTCTATCAAGTGCGGAAAAAGTTTTCGGAAGAAATGCTAAAGAAAAAATAAGAAAAATCTCAGAAAATATTCGGCATATGTACCTACATCAGTGCGAAAAAAATATAAAACCAGTTTGTTCTCGAAGTTATTGAAAACAAAAAAAAAAAAAAAAACAAAAAGAGTCGAGAAGAAAAAAGTCGCTTAAAAAACTAAAACGCAAACAAGTAAAGCTCTTCTTGTTTCAAATATTCTGCATGCCTTGGTTTGGAGAGGCTGCAATTGTGTCTTTTGTTTTTTTGAAGAATGACGATCGACTAAAGAGCATAGCAGTTGGAAAAAGAGCCATAGAAAGAGAAAAGATACCAACTTTTATTTATTAACGAAAAAAATCTTAAAGCATTTCATTTAATTGAAGAAATAAATTAAGCTGATCAAACCTAATTAAACACGCGCACTTACACGTTGTATCTGTCGATTTTGACTAGTCCAGTCCGTCCCGCAACCCCCATTTGCGGAGAGGCAATGCTGAATGAATATTCGAGACAATAAAAATTGTTTACAAAACGCTGTAAACAGAAGTAAATTAAATTGAATTAAATTCTGTAATATTGGCAAGCCACGCGCACGAACACAACTTACCGACCCTGCCAGCCATAGGTACCTATAGGAAATTCGAAATTTGGATAATTTTTTTATTCAAATTCATCAGTCGGCGACGGCGGCCTTGACGTTTCTTAGAACAACCCATCACAACTAGATTTTGGGGCTTGCCGCCTGCATCAACTATCTATCAATCCAGCCACAGGGGCAGAATTTCTTCCCTACCCTGCAGTGGTATTTGGCTTAGCGTGAAACGTGTGAAGAATTTATGAAGAGTTCGTAATTGAAAGGCCATAAATACTGTGCGATTTCTAAACAAATACCGACAGACGGACAACATAACAACAAATAAAATACTCACCCACAAATAGATACGTGCAAAAATCGAAAAGAAAAGGAAAGAACAATCATCGGCAGCAGCAACAACACAAACGCATTCAAATGTAAACATTCAATCCCATAGAACCGGATAATCCAGCCGCAGATACAAAATTCAAAAGCAGCTACTTAAGTGTTGGCGCCTTGCTTCGCTCTCCTCCCATATCATTGGCGCCTCTTCCTCACCCCCACAACAGCAACGATATCCATATCTGTACAATACGAACCCTACAATTTATTTAATTAAGAAAAGAATTCAGGAGCAAAAAGACAACAAAATATCAGCTATTTTCCAAAAACTAAAGAGAGTGATATCGGAGTAAACCTTGAATTTAATGCCTAGCTCCCCAGGAAAATAGAAACCCAAACAATTGCAAAAATGTTGTATTACAATAAACTTGCCAATTTTATAAACAGTTTCTGGCCTTTACGTCGAAAATATACCGCCATAGTATCTTCATCAAAACCACCCATATGCCTTTCAACACTCCTTGTGGCATTTGCGATGACAGTACTACTTGATTGCATTGCCATGAATCCTTCGGAGACATCTTCCTCCAGTATTATGGTGAGTGCCACTCAATCCGGCATCTATGTCGACAATGGTCGCGGTCAAACCGAAATTCATCACGTTCTCGACGAAGACGAGAGAATGGCAGCAGCCTATGATATTCTTGAATTTTTGGGTTTACCCGAACGCCCAAAGAGGAAACATGGTCATTTATCCTTGAGGTAAGTAGAAGACTTGGAGCTTTTGCCATTATTTTAAAACAGTTTTTAAAATAATTGTTCTTTATACCCTCCACCATAGTATGGAGGGTATATTAAGTTTGTCATTCCGTTTGTAACACCTCGAATTATACATTTGGGGTCTAACCCCACAAAGTATTTATATTTTTGATCAGCATAAAATTCTATGTCGATTTAGCGATGTCCGTCCGTCTGTGGAAATCACTCTAGCTTCCGAACGAAATGAAGTAGGTTGATGGAATTTTAATCAAATGTGTATTATGTCTGCAGGACTTTTAGTATTGAAAATTTAAGATTTTTTGGCCATAAGAGTCCTTTATCAATGCATTAAGGAGGAAATATTTGGTACTAAAAAATACCAAAGTCTCGATCACCTCAAGCAAGCGCTTCGCCGGAAATGGGCCAAAATACCGCAGAGCAACATTCGGGTAGCGTGTGACAGTTTCATTGGCCGTTTGAAGGCCATAATTCGTGCCAAAGGTGACCAATTCGACCAAATCTAAACTTATTCTAAAATTTGATGTTATTTCCGACATTTTTGCTTTCATTCAATAAAATTTAAAAACAAATGTAAAGAAGTGAAAAAGCTGTAAGTTCGACCGGGCCGAACTTTGAATACCCTCCACCATTTGGAACGAATTCGGCAATTCTCAAAAACAATAAAATCCGTTTAAAATTCTGTTAAAATCTTAAAAATAGCGAATGTAGCTGTTATAATAGGGTCTATACGACGACATGGACCTGCATAGGTAACATCTGTCATAAGTCATTACAATATTCAAATGCGAAACTTAAAAAAAATCGGTGAATAATGTAGATAAAATCATCAAAATACCGAATATCGGAAGGTACCGTTACATGGGGGCAATACGAAGACGTGGACCTACACAGACAATTTTATGTCTTAGGCTGTAGTATCCATTACGAACTTGAAATACCAAATTTGAAACAATTCCAGTGAATAAATTCGCTAAAATCATCATAATACCGAATATCGGGAGTTACCGTTATATGGGGGCTATACGACGACGTGGACCTGCAGAGACAATTTTCTGTCTTAGGCTGTAGTATCCATAACGAACTTGAAATGCTAAATTTGAAACAATTCCGGTAAATAATGTCTCTAAAATCATTAAAATACCGATTATCGGGAGGTATCGTTATATGGGGACTATACGAAGACGTGGACCTGCACAGACAATTTTCTGTCTTAGGCTGTAGTATCCATAACGAACTTCAAATACCAAATTGGAAACAATTCCGGTGAATAATGTCGCTAAAATCAACAAAGAACCGAACATCCGGAGGTACCGTTATATGGGGGCTATACCAAACGTGGACCTACATGGCCCATTTTCAATACCAAAAGTCCTACAGACATAACAGACATTTGAATAAAATATTATCCACCTACTTCAATTCGTTCGGAAGCTAGAGTGATTTCCACAGACGGACGGACATTGCTAAAAGGACATAGAATTATATGCTGATCAAGAATAATATACTTTTTGGGGTCTAAAATGTATATTTCGAGGTGTTACAAACGGAAAGGCAATTATAATATACCCTCCATACTATGGCGGAGGGTATAAAATATGTCGTTTAACTTTGTAGCAGTTCTTTTTTATCTCACCCTGTATAACCCAATATCGTATCCCAGGAACATGTCACCAAATTTTTGATGACCTTCTGCATTTTTGCAAAATACCGCTAAAGAGTAATACTATACAACAAGCACATTGCAAAATTACAACATTTTAAATATATTAAATAACAACAAAAACTCATTCGTTTGCAAAATGTTTAAATAAAACAAGCATCATATTTTTTTTGATTCGTAGACAAAATGGAGCCACAATACAAGTGAATTTCTATTTCTATAACCTGAAATAATGTTAATTAGTCAATAATGAAAGAACACAAAAAAGAAAAAAAAAAAAAAAAGTGTAGCTATAAATAAATATTTGCATACACGTAGCATAAATTAACATTTCTTGAATATATTTTTGTAGATAAAACTGATATTGTATGCGGCCTTAGTTTAGTTTGTATGTCAACTGGATTTTTTTAAGAGATATCTATGAAATATTTCCGAGGGCTGAACAATAAGCGTTTATTCTGTTTGGCATTCTTGGGCAAATCTTTACGAATTTTTCGGTCAAGAAGATGCCAAAGGATATTTGCTATATTTGTTCGAAGACTCAGAAGTATAAAGCAAAGCAAAGACATAAAACTATAAAAACCGGACCATATAAGGTCGGCCAGTTAGCCCATCTGGCAACCAAGTTTGCCGTTAAAAGACATATTGTCAGAGTCAAATAACAATAGTGCCAAAACAACTAAGTTTTTTTATACCCTCCACCATAGTATGGAGGGTATATTAAGTTTGTCATTCCGTTTGTAATACCTCGAAATATACATTTTAGACTCCACAAAGTACATATATTCTTGATCAGCATAAAATTCTATGTCGATTTATCGATATCCGTCCGTCTACCGTCTGTGGAAATCACTCTAGCTTCCGAACGAATTGAAGTAGATTGATAAAATTTTACTCAAATGTATGTTATGTCTGCAGGACTTTTGGTATTGAAAATGGACTATTTAGGTCCATGTTTTGGTATAACCCCCATATAACGGTACCCCCCGATATTCGGTATTTTTTACCGGAATTGTTTCAAATTTCACATTTGAAGTTCATAATGGCAGAAAAATTTTTGTGCAGGTCCACGTCATCGTATAGCCCCATATAACGGTCCCGATATTCGGTGTTTTGATGATTTTAGCTCCATTATTCACCGATTTTTCTTTTTTGTTAAGTTTCGCATTTGAATATGACAAAAGTTACCTATGCAGGTCCATGTCGTCGTGTAGGCCCTAATGTAACAAGTACATTCGGTATTTTTAAGATTTTAACAGAATTGTTAACGGATTTTATTGTTTTTGAGAATTGCCAAATTCGTTCCAAATGGTGGATGGTATTTAAAGTTCCCACCGGCCGAACTTACAGCCATTTTACTGTTTTTTTTATAAAATTGTTATCAAAAGTAGTCTTCTTGGCCGACCTTAATGATTCGATCAGGTAATAGATGACATGAGAAAAATGCACTAGAAACAAAACAGAAATATAATATTCCGAAATCGTTAAAAAATGACGGAAAATTGTAAAAAATGTCCTATCTTTAAAAACAAGATAGGAGATAATATGATGACATTATCATCTCCAACAGAACTAACATTTTCCTTTTTATACCCTCAGCCATATGGCTAGAGAGGGTATATATCATTTGATACGTTCATAACGTGTCTAGTCGATATAAGTCGCACGATAATTCTCGAAGGGAGTATCCGATTCGGCCCAAACTTGGTACATCGTAATATTTTTGTCAAACTTAGATCGAGTTCGGAGATGGACAATCGGTCCACTCCTTCTGGTACGTCCTCCACAAAAGGTCGAAATTTTCAAAAAATATATTTTCTGCACAGAAAGAGAAACAATAATCCGATTTTGCTCCAACTTTGCAAATCCTAATATTTGCATCAGTGCTAGATCAGGTGTGAAAATTGACAATATCGATCCACTCCAACAAGTGCTTCCCCCACAAAGGGTCACAATTTTGAATAATTATAACTCTTATAAAATGTGATGTAAAAATCCGATTGTCTTAAATTTTCACTCATTTCAATATTTTTATCTACTCAAGATCTGGTGTGAAGATGAAGTATATCGATTCACTCTTTCTGGTACCTCCCCCACAAATATTCACGGAGTTCAGAAAACACGAAATTAACATCCGATTCCACTCTGACTATATATTCAAAATTTTGAATAACCAAAACTATCATAAAATAGATAAGCATCCCGTTTTCTTCAGATCATCCAATATTTTTATTAACCAACGGTCTGTTGTAAAGATGGGATATATCGGTCTACTCCTTCTAGCACCTTATAAGGTGGGGTAATGGAATACTTCGGTTGATTATATGTGGCACCTCGCGCAATCTTTTAACATTTTCTAAAAATTAACACATACCTCACACGAAGTAAGCAGTCGATATAGTCCAAACCTGTCGCGTCACAATATTTATATCATATTTATTTAGGTCCGATACGAAATGGACAATATTGGCACATTCCTTCGGAACCTACTCCATAGAGGGCCAACAATTTGAGTAATCATAACAGAAGTAAAAATATATTTAAATAATCGAACATTGGCTGATGGTATACATCTGTCGGCAAAACCGACTGATATTTTCTAACTTGTTCGCTTAAATGTACAAGGAAATGCTCTGGCATATACCTGTATGTCTTTGCCTCTGTTCCCCATAGTTTATAACAATTTATAAATAAATCGAACGACAGATGTTTCCCGGCTTATATGTGAAGGAAGAGCAACCTGCCCAAGGCTCGAAATGTAATTCGAAAATGGCAAAAATGCATGAACAAGGTTTTAAATTTGGACATCGTCCGCAATATTACTCGAATTTAGTCGCCCCAGAACATTTCCAAACAATTTTTTGAAAGAGAATAATATAAGCAAATAGTCTCAACATTTATCAGCTGCCAATTAACAAATGATAATCTCTTACATTGGTTTTTAAATCAGAAAATAATTTTGCTCTGTTTTAATTTCTAGGAAATCTGCACCCCAGTTTCTTTTGGATGTCTATCATCGTCTCAAGGAAGAGGAAAACGACGATGAACCACCGGCATCTGTTCGTTCAAAACGTGATCTTCAAGAACAGGAAAACTTCATAACAGATCTCGATAAGAGAGCAATCGAAGAAAGTGACATTATAATGACATTTCTCAATAAAAGTAAGTATGGCCATAGAATTAAATTAAAATACCCAAGATAGACAGTACAAACAGAGGAATGGCCGGATAGTGTCTATTAGTACGTAGACTGAAGAAGAGAGTCAACTAAAATTATTAAGCCGGGCAAAATGGCTCTCTTTCTCTCTCTCTCAGTAACTTCTTACTGTGAAAATGTTACTGGGACAGTAAACGAACAAACCTTTTATACCACCAATTGTTTTTTTTAGACAAATTAAAAAGTCGGTTTTGCCAACAGATGTATTTATAAATGTTATTCTGTTATGATTATAAAAATTGTTGACCCTCTATAGAGTATTTTCCGAAGGAATAGGCCAATATTGTCCAAATGCGACGATTCGACTATATTGCTTACTTCCTTAAATTTATATGAGATATATGTGATAATTTTTAGTAAAATCGCTGACTTGACAGAATTGGAAATGGTTTGTGGTGGGTGAGGCACCAGAAGGAGTTAGCAGATATATATCATGTGTGAAATTTGAAGAGAGTTTCATACTTATTTCGATTTCTTTGAGCGTTTTGTTTTTCAAAATATTGAACCCTATATGGAGGACGTACCTGAAGAAATGGTGCGATCTTTACCATCTTTATAACAGATCTTGTGTTGATGGAAATATTGCGATGTACCAAGTCTGAATAGAATCAGATATCAATTTCGCGTTTTATTCACTTCATGGATATTCAAAATTTTGACCCTTTATGTGAGAGGTACTACATGGAGTGGACTGATACGTTCCATCTTTACACCACACCTTGGGTTAATAAAAATATTGTGATGTGTGAAATTTAAAGAGAACTGGATGCTTATTTCGGATTTTATAACATATCTTTTGTTGATGGGAATATTGAGATTTGTCAAGTCTGAGTGGAATCAGATGTTAATTTATCGTTATATGACCTTCACGGATATTCAAAATTTTGACACTTTGTTGCTGAGGTACCAGAAGGAGTGGATCGATATATCTCATCCTTACACCAGACCTTGTGTTAATAAAAATTTTGTGATGTGGGTAATTTGAAGACAATCTGCCTCTTACATCAGATTTTATAAGAGTTATAAGGTTCAAAATTTTGAACCTTATGGGGGATGTACTTGATGGAGTGTACTGATATTGTCCATCTTCGTACTTGACCTTGCACTGATGCAAATATTAGAATTTGCAAAGTTGGTGCAAAATCGGATTAACCTTTCTCCTTCTGTGCAATAAAATATATAGTAATTTTTTAAATTTCGACCTCGGAGGAGGTACCAGAAGTAGTGCACCGATATTGCCCATCTCCGAACTCGGTCTAAGTTTGATAATAATATTACAATGTACCAAGTTTGGCCCAAATTGGAAACTCCCTTCGTGAATTATCGTGCGCATCAGCCAGACAGACGGACGGACGGACGGATCTTATACCGTTATTTCGATGAGGCACGTTTTGGCAGTATCAAATAATATATACTCTTTCTAGGCAATTAGCTGAGGGTATAAAGATATATTCTTAGGTCATTTTTATGGAGGAAATCCATTATCACGTGGAATGCCAAATGGCGCCCAACGTGAATAATGGTTGTGATTATTCAGAATGTTGACCCATTGTGGGGGAGTTACACAATGAAGTGTGTCAATGTTGTCCATTTTTGCACCTGGTATAGCAGTGATTCTTTCTTGCTCTATGAGGTAAAATATTTTCAGTGAACATTTTCACCTTTGGTGGGGGAGGTACCAAAAGGAGTGGACCGATGTTGCCAGTCTCCGAACTCGATCTACGTTTGGTAAAAATATTAAAATGTTTGCATCAAAGGCAGCCGGCTTGACAGACCTAGGGTGTAAAACCGTTATGTGGATGAGGCACGTTTTGGCCGTATCAAATGATTTATACCCTTTCTAGCCATATGGCTGAGGGTATAATAATTTGAAAATGATTTTACTGAACGTGTTAGAGAAAAATCTCATTTCAACTTATTCAGTCATTTTTATTGGGGAAGTTATTGTACATACCTAAGGTCTGAGTGGTTACCCTAAAATCTATAACATAAAAGTTCTGCAAAAGAGAGCGATTCCAGGGAGAAATCTTGATAGTTCTTTTATTGAGAGTTTGCCTACTTTTGCTGGACAGATTTCTGGTTGCGATTACTTGCAACTCTTCTTCTTCCATTTTGAGTTTTTGAGTATCCTGTTATATACACTTTTATATTGCAATTCGGAAGCATAATAAGAAAGGTTCAATAAGAAAGGTTGATCAACTTCAAAGAATCTAGAATAGTGCAATTCTGTAACGGAGTGTTATAGTGTCAAATAGACTTTTAAATATGCAACAGTTGGTTTTGTTTATTTTTGAGTTTTTTACATAATTATTATATTGGGGAAACCAATACAGATTCATGCCCCGGGCAATTTTTAGTGTTTCAAAAAACCCGATCCTATTTTCGGCCAGAGGTTTTAATCTGTGAGTTAAAACCCTAAATAAAATAGCACATATATTAAAAATGATACATCTACATCTAAGCATAGTCCTATACTTATAATTATATGAAAGAATGTGTTGTTCTTTCTAAAATCTCAAATTAACAACATATGAGGAATTTGCAAGAGGCTTTATCTTTTTTTTTTTTGAGTTTTGGGCCTCTGAATTGATAGTATTTTCAAAATGGAAATTTAATATGCGTCTTTCAAACTTTGCACAGGCTTTTATATTATTCTTAGGATGATTGACGTTACAAAAGGTATATATTTGTTCTCACATAATATTATCTCCTAATATTGGTCGACCAAATGTGTTCTAATTTAGCTGATTTGAGCTGTTTTAAAGGGCTCAAAAGCATTTTCGAGATTATAAATCATTTGTCAAAAAAACTACAACAAAAGTCCACTTTATAATTTATTTTCTATTCCTCTGTACCTTTTTATATTCGTTATAACATCGTATTTAATTAAATTTTCAAACCTCAATTATCAGTATTATAAAGGTCTTAGTAATATTTTCCAAGTAAATTTCAAAAGTAATTTTGAATTCGTAACTTCTGGAAGACCATGTTGTAAGGTATTTAGTTTTTACCGATAAAACCGAATATCTTCATTATTTAGCAAATATAAAGATTTTAGATAAATCGGAATAGAGGGCGTAAAAGTAGGCGTGGGTAATATTTTTTTTTATTTTTTTATGCAAATCGGTTTAATTATGCAAATCGGTCCAGCCGTTGTCAACTGATTCCATTACAAACAAACAACAATTGATTTGTATATATACAGATTCCATTTTGTTAAATGGTAAAATACAGCACAGGATAATATTGAAAACGATACAGACACACACATCATACCCTAATTACAACTTATTTCTGCTAATGACTTAATTAAAAACACTAAAAATAATCGTCATCATCATAATCAGACCAGAAGATACTAAATGGAGAGCAGATTTGATTGTAAGGCATCAGGTAAAAATATCTGACTGGCAAGAGTAGATGAGATGCGAGCGTATTAGGCCTGTGATGTCCGAGCAAAAAAAAAAAAAAAAAACAAAACTTAAGTGCACTGGCGCCTTACTTGCTGGGCCAATGAAATTTGTTGTTTTCTACCTGAGTATGTCGTCTGCCAATGATGTTTCCATGAACCAGACATAAACGGAATGTCGGAAGATTCAATTTTTAAACACAGCTTGAACCAGTTTCATTTGCTTTGCCTCTTCGCATACAAAAAAAAAATTGTCCGACAAAGAGTCTGATTTCGGGTTTTATTGTGAGACCGACCGCCTACTCGATTGATTTTTTTTGTGGACAGAAAACCAAACGTTGTGCATTCCTTTCATTTCAAGCAATGAAGCCTTTTGTTCTTAACCTGCCAGGCTATTATCATTCGTTGGTATTTCTTATGAACTAATTTTTTGTGATCCTTTGCTGTTCTTTTTACTAGACCACCATGTCGAAGAGGTGCGCCATGAACATGGACGTCGTTTGTGGTTTGATGTTTCCGATGTGGCCGAAGATAATTATTTGATGATGGCCGAACTGCGCATCTATCAGAATCCTGCGCAGGGCAAATGGGCAACAAGTGGCCGAGAATTCACCATCAATGTGTATTCCATAGTCAAGACAAATGGCCACGATGTACAATTACAAATTTTATCCTCCGTTAATACCACAGCCGATTATCAAGGGTGGTTGGAATTGAATGTCACAGAAGGTTTGAGTTCGTGGCTACATCAACCCAAGGAAAATAAAGGATTATATGTTGGAGCACATCCCACAAATAAACCGGAAAGAGAAATTAAGCTAGACGACATTGGCTTGGTACATCCCAAGGGTGATGATGAACATCAACCGTTTATGGTTGGATTCTTCCGTGGACCTGAGGTGAGTGTTTCTTTTTTTATACAAAACGTAAAAAGTTTTATGGATAATTATGATTCTATTGTAGCTGATAAAACAAGTCAAACATCATAGCCGCAGGAAACGTGATACCCATACACGTCGCAGAAAGAAGTCCGACATTGGTAATCCGCTGATGGATGGTCCCGGTGAGGGTTCGCGCAGTTGTCAAATGCAAACACTGTACATTGCCTTTAAGGACCTCGGATGGCGGGTAAGTAGATTAGGAATATTAATTTGAAAAATCACCCTCTCCAATTTGGACGACTCTCCTATTAGCAGTTGGAAGGTATCTGAAAAGAGGTCCTTCGCAGACCAGAAGATTATATTCTTAAAGCAGGCTTGGGCCAAATTCAAATGAATTGTCAGAGTTGAAACATCACCCAAGAGGTCTGAAATCTACCAACGATGTCTGGGGAGCGGTGAATGTTGTCACAAGTAGCCTTCGTTCAAGCTATGAAAGATCTTGTCCATCATCTAACCTGGGAGAAATTCCCATCCGGTTTGGTGGACTAGCGACCTTGCTATTCATCGGAACAGCAAGGAGGTCTTATAACAGGTCCAGTAATACTTAAACTTAAGGTGATTATACATAAAGCGCCTTTTTGACTGGCTTAAGTCATCGGTTGGTTTCTTCGTAGATGAACAAAGGAGTTTTAGGTTGACCTTTGGTCGATTTTGGGTCTATGCTTCTTTGTTCTTTTCCGAAAAAGCCAGCCGATGACTTAAGCCAGTCAGAAAAAAGCGTTTTATGTATTCTCACCTTTAGTCCTAATTAGAACGCCTATAAGGTAGACTTCAATAAATGCAAAACTAAGTTACAGAAGGCTGAACATAGATCTTGGATCAGTTTTTGCGAATCTATAAAGGGATTGTATAATTCTGTCAAATTTCGCAAAAGGCATTATAAAGCGACATGAAGGCACCCACTTTCCTGGTTGTAGGATGCAGGTGGTAGTGACCAAAAACCAACAACCTCTCTACATTCTACAGCGGAAGATGAGAGGCCCATAGAAAGGAAAAAAAGCTAACCCAAGATTATATGGGTGTTTAACAGCTGTCAACCCTTAGAATTTCCAAATCATGATGGCATTATACGGGCAATGTTGCAGCATGCATCAGAGTTGGTGTTGGCTATCTTGCAGAAGATTTTTTAGTGCCAACCTTGCTTTCCAAAATACTCCAGACACAATAGTCCAACGGATTGGAATCCGGAGATTTTGGTGACCATTGTGCGCTGGAAATTAAGCGTGGAACCTCATTTTGTAACCATTCTTGGGTGGCGCGTGCTGAGTGTGATGATGCTGAGTCCTGTTGGAATGTCCAAGTTCTGCGGCCAAAATATTTGCAAGCCCAAGGGTTTAATACGCCCTCCAGAATATTTTCACGATAATATTCGGCATTTATTCTAATGCCACGGTAGATTAATACGAGCGGAGAGCGAGCATCTGCTGCTATGGCGGCTCACACCATCACCATGGACGGCGCTTGAGTTCTGGTGACCAACCGAAGGTGCACATTTTTAGCTGACCTCTTTGGCAAGTAAACACGATCATTTTGTTTGTTTACAAACTGCTGGACAACGAATGTTTTCTCATCGGAGCGGAGAAAACCAAATTCGGCAGTTCACCACTTTTGGTCAAACGAAGCAACTCTTTAGCTCCTTTGAGTCTATTTTCTTTCTGTTGCGGTGTAAGTTCTTGCACTTTTTGGAATATCAATGGCTTTCCCCGAGCTCATTTTTCAATATTTGCCGAATGGAATATTGCGATACGTTCAGCTCACGAGCCATTTTTCGATCAAATCGCTTCTTTACTTTTCGAACCATTTCTGCTGATGTTGGTGTTTTTTTCCGTCATTCTTCTTGACGTCGGGCTACGCTACCAGTTTCACGGAAACGAGCAATGGTGCGAGACACAAAAGATTTATTCACATTTAAATGCTGGTGTGCTCTAACGATAGCCACTTGTGGTTTTCCAGCCAAATATCAAGAAATCACACTATCACGCTTGAATTCTATCACGAATAGCTTTTTTCTGGAAAATTCTCACTAAAATGCTTTTATTCCCTTGTATCGTCACTGGACGATAATTTTAACAGCTGTCGGACGAGTGGCTTAGAAATGCCAGCAGTCTGAATTTGGTTGCAGTTTTTTCATCTCACCCTGTATTTGAACAAATGTTTTGATGTTTGTGTTCCCTCTACACATGCACTTTTGCCTGTTCTATTATTGGTCATCCCTGGTGTTAATTTTTGTTGTGGCACCATGTTGATGATGATACCAATTGCAATGCTTCCGATGATATGAAGGGGTAACATTTAAAGAGTTCACACTACTTGCGACAAAAGTTCTATGGGTTTGATCTAACTTTTCGGCATTTATCGGCTTTATTATTATCGTGACTTTGGTGAGGAACTCGACGATCTAGCGGTCAAGGAAACCCATTCCCCTTTGTTAGGATCAGCTACCGTTTTGCCATTAAACGTGTTTGAGGTGTTTTTTTCCAAAATTCCAGAGCGATATAACCGTTTACTCATATCTGTTCTAATTCTGTCCAGGCATATTTCCCAATGTCTGGAAGTTTTCATATCGTTGTTCAGAAAAGGTTCACAATGACGTTTTCTCATGCATTTTCAATAGCTAAGATATTGAAATAATTGAAAGCGCTTAAGGTCAAAGCTTAAATCGTAAATAGGTCGTACGTTGGACAGACCTTGTTCGATTGTTTTCACAACTTTGTGTAGGGCTGTATTTGTGGAGCGTCTGTGGTGTCATGCTGTTAATCATAGATTCGAGTTCTAATAATTTTAAAACATTTTTTTATCAAAGTTCACCTAAAAAAATTATATACAAAAGATTTAAATACTATTTATTTGATTACAGGACTGGATCATTGCTCCGGACGGTTATGGCGCCTATTATTGCAGCGGTGAATGCAATTTCCCGCTCAACGCCCACATGAATGCCACTAATCATGCCATTGTTCAAACCCTGGTACACCTGTTGGAACGTAGCAAAGTGCCCAAACCCTGTTGTGCTCCAACACGACTTGGTGCGCTGCCAGTACTCTATCATTTGGACGAACAACATGTCAATTTGAAAAAATACAAAAATATGATTGTCAAGAGCTGCGGCTGCCATTAAATGAAAGAATGAATTTGCCACCGAAAAAAACTACTTTACTGAGATTAAATTTAAGCCATAATTTTTATGTAAAATTCTTTAGTGATCTTTTAATGTTTAATTTTACTTAAAAGAAGTATTTGTCGAATATTTTGTATGATTGTATTAAATGGATAAATTAAAAAGAAATCATATAATTTTAAAGTTAAACGTGAGGTTCGGGGACAGCCTTTTTCACATTTTGGGTAAGTTAGAGGATGGTCTTACAGAAAAATGTGGCAATATTACATACCATATATATTGGTACAGTTTTTAATTAAGTGAATCGTTTTAATTGTTCATTTGTTGGTCTGTTCCAGAACTGCAAGAATGTAAAGGTTTTTCCTTTATGATATCCAAATAAAATGCAAAACTAGTAGATTCTTGCTGGTACTGGAACAGGGCATGTATTTTCTTTCATGAATTTGTTGTTCTAACTTTGCATGTATCGCCATCTAGATATGAATTAAAATTGTTATAGAACAGGGTAACACAGAAATATTATTAATTTATACCCTGAGCTACCTGTTACTTTTATGAAACATTGACCAGCTTCGTTGATATTTAACAAATACTTTTATATTGACAGAAATTTTTGTTGATTCTGGGAAAGATAAAAAATTGGGCTTTTTAATTAAAAATAATAATAAATAAATTAGAGAAATGCAAAACTTGTTAAAATATATAAAAAAAGATTTAAAAATGTTGACACATCAATGTCCCAAGCGTTGATGCATTTCCAATAAGACAGTCGATAACTTAAGCCAGTCAAAAAGGCGTTTTATATATTCTTATCTTAAGGTACAACAGAACTGCACTATAAAGAAAATATATAAGAATAGGCCATAATTTATCTAGTATATTTTCCTTAAAATTTAGAAAATTGTTTGCAGCACCTAAAAATATACTTTAAAAATATACACAATGTAATATGTAAAAAAAATCACTTTAATTGTGACTCTAACATGATGCGTAAATTGGCCTGAACCTGTTTTGCTAATACACGCCTACACATTGAACTCATTATCTACTTATATTTCATTAGGTAGTAAATTATTGTAACTAACAGGTTGTGCAATATCTTAGACCAATAATTGGTAGCCTTGTATTTCCTATTCGTTTGCGACAATTAAACATAATACACAATATTTGCGGTTATATATGTACATTTGTTTGTACTTAGTGTATAAAGGAAAACACGCTGACACGCATGTGAAATTAGTCGGCCTACTGCTTATACACGTTCCTATTGTGTAAGCAAGAACACCTGAACGTCCGGTGTAGAAGAAAATGTAAACATTACAGTTACAGTTCCCAGCGAACATGATTTAATTCAAACATTACACAGTGCAACATTTTCATCAGGAAAATATTTAATCGATTGCTACAATATGATTTCCTATGTATATAAAAGTTCCAAGCATGGTACAATAAGGAAGAAGAACAGCTTCGTAAAATGACAGAGGTACAGCCCTGAGTCTATGCCCGCTTCCTGTCAGAATTATTCAAAATAATATGCAACAAGTTGTTTTTATTTATTTAATATTTTCTTCATTTGAAAATAGCTCAAAAAATGAATGAAATGCGGATTTTTTTTTTTTTTTCAAAAATATGATCCAAACTGCCCAATCTTTTAATTTCATGGCGAAGCTAAAAGATTTTCCAATCATTGATTTTTAAAATATTGTGTTCTTATTTTTCAAAACAATAGTTATATACAAAAAAATGGAAGAAGTGATACACACTTAAGGTTAGCATACATAAAACGTTTTTTGAATGCCTTAAGTCATCTGCTGGCTTCTTCGGAAAAGATCAGGGACGAAGGGACAAAAATTGAACTAAGTCAACCTAAAACTCCTTGGTTCCTCTACGAAGAAGCCAGCCGATGACTTAAGCCACTCCGAAAAGCCTTTTATGTACTCTCACCTTTGAAAAAAACCTTACCTTACCTTACCTTTTTTTTGTACCAATGTTCCAAGTTGTTTTTATAAAGCAACTAAAACGAGATTAAGGGTTGGAATACATTAAGCGCTTATTTGATTTGCTTAAGTCATCGGCTGGCTTCTTGGTAGAGGAACAAATGAATTTCAGGTTGACTTAGTTCGATTTTGGCCCTAGGCTCCCTTGTTCATTTCCGAAGAAGCCAGCCAAATAAGCGCTTTATGTATACCCACCTTAAGACCGATTGTTTCGAAAAAAAAAAAACAAAACAAAATTCTTATATTTTTGTAATTGTTATGACGAAATGACAACTAGTTATAGATGGTACCTACATCGATTGCTGGGTGTTCCACATATGTTTATTATATACGGACATATATGTAACAGCGTAGTATCATAAAAACAGACACAGCAGAACATTGAACTTGTGAGAAGGATTAGCGGCCGTGTAAAAAAACATCAAACAACGAGTCATCAAACGTAACTGTCATGTAAGACAGACAGAGGTTTAAGACCCTATGCATATACATATGAACATCGGAAAATTGTTTATCGATTGTAAAATAACACCTAGATGCACATTGTCTGCGTCACAGTTTTTCATGAAAACTGAAATTGCGTGACATAATGAGAGAGATAATGGAAAACGCATCAAATGAGACAATATTAGCATGTCACATTTAAGTTGATGCAAAATTGTCAGGCTTAATTCCATTATTGTTGTTGCAATAGCAAGTTTATACAGGGTAAGATAAAAAAAACTGCAATAAAGTCAACTGCCATCATTTTTACATTTTTTTAATGTTATTGAATGAAAGCAAAAAATATCGGAAATGGCATCAAATTTTAGAATAAGTTTTGATTTGTTCGAATTGGACACCTTTGGCACGTATTATGGCCTTCAAACGGCCAATGAAACCGTCACACGCTGCCCGAATGTTGCTCTGCAGTATTTTGGCCCATTCCCGACAAAGCGCTTGCTTGAGGTGATCGACTCTTTGGTATTTTTTAGTACCAACATTGCTTTCCAAAATACTCCAGACACAATAGTTCAACGGATTGGAGTCCAGAGATTTTGGTGGCCATTGTTCGCTGGAAATGAAGCGAGGAACCTCATTTTATAAACATTCTCGGATGGCGCGTGCTGAATGCGATGGTGCTGATTCCTGTTGGAATGTCCAAGGTCTGCGGCCAAAATGTTTGCGTGCCCAAGGCTTTAATACACCCTCCAGAATATTTTCGCGATAATATTCGGCATTTGTTCTGATGCCACGGTCGATTAATACGAGCGGAGAGCGACCATCGGCTGTTATGGCGGCCCACACCATCACCATGGCCGGCGCTTGAGTTATGGTGGCCAAACAAAGGTGCATATTTTCAGCTGACCTCTTTGGCATTTAAATACAATAATTTTGTTTGTTTACAAACTGCTGGACAACGAATGTTTTCTGATCGGAGAAAACCAAATTCGGCAGTTCATCACATTCGGCGAAGTAACTCTTTAGCCTTTTGAGTCTATTTTCTTTCCGTTGCGGTGTAAGTTCTTGCACTTTTTGGAATTTCATTGGCTTAACCCCGAGCTCATTTTTCAATATTTGCCGAATGGAATTTTGCGATATGTTCAGCTCACGAGCCATTTTTCGCCACTGCGACGCGGGTTTCGATCAAGTATTTACTTTTGATGGTTAACCCATTGGCTTAAATAGATCTGGTGTGCCGCTCAGCTGATTTTTGTTTACGAATACATACATAGCCAAAAGAGAGTGCAAAATATAGACAAGAATGATGGAGAGATAAACTTAATAAATAAATCCAATTTATGTTCGAAAGCGCATATTGGCTAGTCAATTTAAATCGACTCGATTTCTAAATATATAAGTGTTAAAGTCTTACTTGTTTTGGCAAGTTTAAAATGGTATAAAATGTCAATCAGCTGATCTTTGTTTAGGAATACATAAAACGCTTTTTTGACTGGCTTAAGTCATCGTCTGGTGTCTTTGCAGGGGAACCATGGTAGAAGTAATAGGTAGACGCATCGACACAGCTGTTGGGACAATGAACTGTCAAAGCAATTTTGGAATTGAAAATGTTGAATGAGAAATTATTTAAATTTGTAAAAATTGTTGAAAAACGCGAATTATAATAGCCTCCGAATGACTTAGTATAAGAAAACATATAAAAATCTACTTATCTACTTGAAAAAACATTTAAATTTTTTTGACATATCAATGCTTCCAAGCGTTGATGCATCTACCTGTATTCTTCTGCCATGAGAGGAACAAAGGAGTTTTAGGTTGACTTAGTTCGATTTTGGCCCTATGCTCCTTTGTTCTTTGTGAAGTCATCTCACGCCATGTATTCTCACATTTGATTACTTAATACAGTCAAAAAAGCGTAAGGTGAGAACCTTTATGAAAAAATTGTAATCAACTGGTGGCTCTACCTTACCTTTTTATCATACCGTTGTTACCTCATAGTAGAATTAAGAAGGTAAAGTCATGCAAACATATATTTTAATTTTTTTTTTTCAAAATTATTCATTTGACAACATCTTATTGTCAAAATTTGTATTTACAAATTCTTGTATACACAGAAATCAGAAATGTGAACCTTTTCTATTCAGTGAAATTTGGCAAGGTAAATTACAGAAAATGCAGGGAAGGATAGTCGTATTTTAAATAAATTTACCTTTTTCATTTTACAATTGGTTACCTGTAGCTTTTTAAACATCTAATGAGATATCCTAATACAAATCTCAGACAAACAATTTTGCTTTTAGTATCAAGTGCTGTCATAATTGTTGTTCTCACATATGTACAAATTTATATTGTAACCAGTATATTTGTGTAAAATATCAAATATTAATTACAGTGACAACAACAACAACAAAACAGCATTTCATTCTATATAATCACAGACGCGTATTAGTTTTCAAGTTTAAACATTTCAAATGATTTTTTAAATGTGCTAAGTGCATACTGAACACACACATGTATTCATCTAAACACATCAACATGTGACAGCAGCATGAAATAAAATATCGCTCATTTACTTGAAGAGTGGCATGCGTTTTTTGAGTTAGCAATTGCAATTCTTTCAAATTTTCATGATATCTATAGAGATAGATAAGGTGGTAGATAGTACATACATTTTTTGTCTGGCTTAAGTCAGCGACTGGCTTCTTCGTAGAGGAACGAAGAAGTTTTAGGTTGACTTAGTTCGATGTGGCC